GTCCTCTTCAACCCTTTCGTTCCTGTAAGTTTTTTGTAATTGTCTGATTTATGGTTAAATCGCCCCCTCTTATAGTATTGTAAAGCGCTACAGAATCTTTTGGCGATATATAAATGCCATTAATAATAGTAATGTAAATAATAATGTAGGAAGAAAACACATTTAACCTATAGCTTTATACTTTATTTTGTTTTAACTTTACCTTTTTTTTTTTTTTTTTATACCTGCCTTAAGAAATAAAGCAGATTTCTATCTATGGATCGAATTTGGAGTCCTATCCTCAATATTGGTGGGACGGCTGCCATTAAAGAGAAGAGGTCCTGGATTAGACCCCATTATTCCAAAGGGGGTCACCCTAAGGTGAAATGTAGCAGTCTTGTGAGTGCATTTCCACTAGTGCACTCTTTGCAATTTGAAATAGTTTTACACTTTTGTGTTTTTTTAACTTTGTAGATCTTCAGCTGTATCCTTTATGTATATTTGATGGGTCATATTTACTGTTATAAGGATACTATCTGTGATATCCTTAGAGGAAGTTGTACTTATTCTAGATAAGATAAGTTGATTCTTTTTTATCCCACCTGTGTCAGATTGGTGAGGGTGTGGTTTATATTTAGGTCATATCTGTATATGTGTATACATCTCAGTATTTAGAAGTCAACGCTGCAGAAAAAAACACAGCTCTTTATTAAAACGTTACCATTATATATGAACATTACTGGAAGAAAGAAGATTTAGTCTAAGGCAAAGAAAATGTTTTTTTTTTTTTACCATAATAACAATAGGGATGTGGAATTTTCAGCCAGAAGAACTGGTTTTATTAGAGTTGGTACAGATGTTTAACCCCTTAAATACCAGAGGGCGTACTATTACGCCCTATTTTTAGCCGGCGATCACGGTTGGGGGGACTCCCAGGGAAGCACATCTGACCTCCTGCAGCACCCAACCTCCATGTGAGAGTGCGGTCCTTGCGATGACCTCACAATCACATGGCCGGGTTAGCTGGCTGCTTCATTGCCAGCAGGGGGACTGCCTGTAATGACAGGTAGTCCCCCTGCTGGCTGAATTCAAATAAAATTAAATTAAATCAGTGTAAAAAAAAAAAATGATATACTTAGATCATATATATATATTATATATATATATGATCTAAGTTTATATATACACATATACATACACACACATACACTGTCTAGGTGTATTTTACTATTAATATATATATAATTATATATATATATTAATATCAAATTACACGTAGACTGATACTGATTAAATATATATATATAATTATTGTTATATATATATATATATTTATATATAATATAAAAAAAATGTAAATATGTAAATACGTTAAAAAATAAAATTAAAAAATAATTAAAAATAAATAATTAAAAAATATATAGATGTGTGTTATTTCATTCTAACTGTATTGTGATATAAATATATATATATTTATATCAAAATACACGTAGAACGAAATGATATATACATCACTATATATATACCTATATATAAATAAAAATATTTTTAAAAATTATATATATATCTATATATACATATATTAATTCTACATATATATTTATGTTATATTTTTACATAATTAGGTATCTTAATTAATTACAATTAGCGGGACCTGCCTGACAACCCATGCCAAAAGTAAAGGGAATTTAATTTGCTAGCACTATATTTAACCCTATAACTTTCCAAGACACCATAAAACCTGTACATGTTCTACTCGGGAGACTTCGCTAAACGCAAATATTAGTGTTTCAAAACAGTAAAATGTATTACAACGATGATATCGCCAGTAAAAGTGACGTTTTTTGCATTTTTCACGCACAAACAGCACTTACACGGACGATATTATTGCTGCGATACTTTTTACTGTTTTGAAACACAAATATTTGTGTTCAGTGAAGTCTCTCGAGTACAACAGTACCCCTCATGTACAGGTTTTATGGTGTTTTCAAAAGTTACAGCATCAAATATAAGGCTGGTGTTTGATTTTTTTCACATTAAAATTCGCCAAATTGGTTATGTTGCCTTTGAGACCCTATGGTAGCCCAAGAATGAAAATTACCCATATGATGGCATACCATTTGCAATAGTAGACAACCCAAGGTATTGCAAACGGGGTATGTCCAGTCTTTTTTAGTAGCCACTTAGTCACAAACACTGGCCAAAATTGGCGTTTTTTGAATTTTTCACACACAAGCAAATACTAACGCTAAATTTGGCCAGTGTTTGTGACCAAATGGCTACTAAAAAAGACTGGACATACCCCATTTGCTATACCTTGAGTTGTCTACTATTGCAAATGGTATGCCATTATGGGTGTAAATTTTATTCCTGGGCTACTATACAGTCCCAAAGGCAACGTAACCAATCTGACGAATTTCAATTTCAAATGTAACGTGCTATATTTGACCCTGTAACTTCCCAAAATGCCATAAAACCTGTACATAGGGGGTACTGTTTTATACGTGAGACTTTGCTGAATACAAATATGTGTATTTTATTGCAGTAAAAGCAAACAGTATTATGACATTGACAGTTAAAATGTCATGTAGAATTAAACATTTTTTTAAAAAATTGTATTTTCTCCCATTTTTTTAATATTAAATTATGTTTCATAGCTAAATATTTGATATTAAATGAAAGCCCTGTTTCCCCTGAATAAAATGATATATAATAAGGGTGGGTGCATTTAATATGAAAGAGGTGAATTACGGTTGGACAGACATGTAGCGCAAATGCCAGGTTTTGTTTACATTTTGTTTTGTTCACAACGTGTACATTTGGCTCAGTCCTTAAGGGGTTAAATGGCAACTAGATGCATACTTGCAAAAACAGAATATTCAAGGATATATTTTTTTAATTGTAGGGTAATAGCTTCTTGATCCAAGGATAAATCTGCCATTCTGGGGTCGAGAAGGATTTTTTTTCCTAGTTTGTTGCAAAATTGGAAGTGCTTTAAACTGGAGTGTTTTGCCTTTTTTAGATCAACAGCAAAAAACAGATGCGAGGAAGGGTGAACTTGATTGACATATGTCTCTTTTTAGCCTATATAACTATTTTGCAAAGCTCTGATAGGTGCATTTTACACCATTTGGTTCTCAGTTCTCAGAAGTCAGAAAAAAGTAAATAGAAGGAAAAAGTGGAGAGGAGCAGTAAAAAAATAAATATATATTTAAATATATTAAATATATATATGTTATATATTTAAAGCTTTTTTTTTTTTACTTCTCCTCTTTTTTTTTTTTACCTCTATTAGTCACTCCTCACTTGATCTGTGAATAAAATCATTATTTAGGGACTGTCCCCAAGCCATCAGTCATCTTTGTTCTTGTCGATCATCTGTCTTTTATTGGGTGGCTTTCTGAATACTGAATTAAACATGTTCAACCATTGTGCAAGTGGCTGTCCCCTAACCACCAATAATCTTTTTGTCCCCCATCAATCATATTTAGGTTTTTTGGTGCCACCCACAGAATTCTGAATCACGAACAAACAAAACTGTTTGTCCATTGTCCATTTGTTTTGTTTCACGATTTGTCCACACGGCAAATCAGAGATACAGAATCAGCTGACCAGCCAAAATTCGGATGAATCACAATTATCAAATCAAAAATCAAAAAATAAGACAGGGGTGCCCAAGATCCTCAGATGTTTTAAAACTCCAGCTTCCATGATGCTTTGTCATTGTAAAGGCATTCTAAAGGCATGCAAAGTACCCAAGGAGTTATAGTTCTACAACATCTGGGGAATCTACCTTCTGAGCACCCCTGGCATAAGGCTACTTACCTGTGCAGACAATGGCAATGCAGACAATGGCAATATGCAGACAAAGAGTTTACCACAATTCACACTTTAGTTAATTACTGTTTTGTTTTTTTGCTGCCACTAAGTTACTTATTCATCTTTTTTGCAAGCCTGATTGGGTTGCTAACAATTGCAGAACATTCTATATAATACAATGTGCTGTAGCCTTACCTCCAAATGCGAATGCTTTGCATTATCATCGCTGGATGCTCTAAATATCACTGTAATCTCTCTTAATTGCAGAACACTTCTGACTTCTTCCAGCTTTGATCATAAACTACATTGAGAAAGGGGAGGGACTTCTATAATTTCTTTGTGAAATACCTGCCTACTTCTTACATCTGAAGGTGCTGTATTAGAATTAGAATGATATAGCAGTTGTTTCACAGGCTTTTAATTGTGATGCATTCGAGTACAGTACATGCTACTACTGCCAAACCAGTCCTCCTAGATTATCACTGGTAATATGTACAATTTTAACATCAGGACCATCTTTAATATGAATGAAGCCCCTGGCAAGTTTCTTTTAATGAGTGAGCCTTACACAAAACGTCTACGTAGAATCCTGCAGTTATCAAAAGATCGATGTAGAATCCTGTAATTTTACATTATCACCCATTATCTCTCCCAGCCCCAAAGGGGTTCTTTGAACTCCACTGACAAACACCCTGCCATCATGTGTGCAATTAGTTAAATTTCTAGGTTTCAAGGGCCATATATATTATCCATGGGCCTTGTGTTTGACAGCCTTTTCATAAAAGACTCATGAGGCAACCAGGGCAGGTGAGACTGCGAGGCAACTAGGCTGCCGACCCAGGGTGTACCGGCCTGGGGTGGTGCCATCACCTGGTAACTGGCAGGAGGGGATGCGCTCCCATCCTGCCGATCACTGATTGTATTGTGGCTGAGCTACGGACCATGGTAGAAGAACATCTGTAACTTTTACCTGGTCTGAAAGGAAATGCTCGCAGGGAGGTTATAGAAGCTCCTCTACCATGGTCCGCATCTAGGCCATGACACAAAGAGGAGGGAGGTGAGCTGGCAAGGGGGGTGGGGGAGCCAACAAAGGGACAGTGGCGGGTGAGGTTGATACCATAAAGGGATAGGGCAAGAGAATCTATAAAGGTACAGTGGGAGGAGGAGATACCCTCATGCTTTTTCCACCCATCCCTCCTGCCCCTTTATGGACTCTTTCCCCCATCCCTTTTATGTAGGGGCTCTCCCCTACATAAAGGGATGGGGGAGAGAGACCATAAAGGCTATGGATGGGGGAGAAAGAGACCATAAAGACCATAAAGGGATATTGGGGAGGGAGACCAAAAAGGGATAGTGGGGGGTGTTAGACCATAAAGGGGTGTGGTGGGAGAGAGACCACAAATGGACAGTGGAGAGTGAGAGACCATAAAGGGGGGGCAAAAAGGCTCACGGAAGGCTCAAGGGGGCAGAGATACACACAGAGAGTCTTGGGGGGAAAAGAGATACAGAGGGGCTGGGACAAAGAGACAGACACACAGAAAGCTAGAGGGACAAAGAGGCACACAGAGGGCTGAGAGGGACAAAGAGACACACAGTCAGGCTGGGGGGAGGGACTAAGAAACGCAGAGGAGCTGGGGGTACAAAGACATACAGAGGGGCTAGAGGGCTAGAGAGACAAACAGAGGGTCTGGGATACAAAAATACACACAGAGGGGCTGGAGGGACAAAAAAGATACACAGAAGGGCTGGGGAGGATAAAGACACATAGAGGGTGTGGGAGGGACAAAGAGACACACAGATGGGCTGGATATACAATGAGACGCACAGTGAGGCTGAGAGAGGACAAATAGACACGCAGAGTGGCTGGGGGGATGAAAAAGAGACTATGAACTATTGAATCATTCTGTATAGGTCTTTGTCAGTGTGTTAGATTTTTCTTGACTTCTGACCTCAACTTGTCCTGATTACTCTTTGTTAACTGCCTGTACCGACTTACTGACTTGTTTTACTGACTCTGACTTCTGGATTCACTTGACCATGGCATTGCCCAGCCATGTATTGTTACATACAAACAACTCAATTATATACATTTACAATATTTGTTAAAATGGTACGCCATTTTGGCGTCAATTTTCTCTCTTAGGTTGCCATGTTCTCTCATAGGCGACATAGGCAGAGAAAATTACTTTTTACATTTTACAAGCTGAAAGAACATCTAATATATTTAGCCCTGTGACTTACCAAAAAAAATTTGAACAAACGGTGCATGGTGGTTATCTCAATTTGAGACAATGTGTAATAAAAATACTGGGCATCTAATATATTTGGCCCTGTGACTTCCCCAAGAAACCTGGAAAACGGGTGCATAGGGGGAAATGCTGGTGATAAAATGCTATTTAAACTATTGAGGCTTTATTACACTAACATATATCAGGATTGTGAAATGTCCTGTGAACATGTAATTGATGTATGTGAAAAAAATAAAATTATAAACCATTTGTGTTAAAGTGGCTAGACCAAATATCTCAAAATGCGCCATGCGGTATGCCATAACAGTGGAAAAATGTAGTACCCAGGCTGCCATACTCTCTCAAAGGCCACATGGGCCCTTGAAATCCTTTTCCAAATATAACGCCTGACGTGGGCAAGCCCTATATTAGATCTTGTAACTTTCCAAAACTCTTATAAAAACTGTATAGAGGGGGTACTGTTGAACTCGTGAGAGACTGAATACAACTATGAGTATTTTAGAGCTGTAAAGTGTTATGACAATGATATCATCAGTGAAAGTGCCATTTTAGTGTAAAAAATGAAAAAAACTAATATGAACACTAACTCTGTCCAGGGTTTGTGATTAAGTGACTACTAAAAAAGACTGCATATAAGAAGAAAATCCCAGGCACTCACTGTGATATATTCAAGGCAGTTTTATTAGATCCGCAACATTTTTATCTGTACCCAGGTGTTTATCAAGCTAACACCACAGTAACAAGAAAACATTTATATACACACATAATAATCAATGAATGTGAAATTACAAAATTCATTAACATACACAGGGATAAAAAAACAGATGATCAGTTAATTTGGTTAATGAACTAATTAATTCAGTACACAAGTTCCTTAGACGACATGGAAAATAGACCAAGTACATGGCATATACAAAAACCAAAAGTAAGGAATGAATAGAATCCACAGATTAAAGCAGACAGAAAGGGTCACTACAATTTGAACACACCTTTCTTGTGATTGGAGGACACAAGCTAAGGGCTTAATAAACTCATCTATATCAAATAATCATAAAAGGAGATTCAATAATGTAAAGGTACTATGAATACATAAATAAATGATTAATGTAATTACCTTGAATATCCACCAAGATCACAGCTCAAAAAGCCTCTGGTAAAACGAGCCGCATACGTGTACATTACGTGCATGATCCCGTCACCCACATACTCTCACATCACAAAAATGCCCATAGTGGCCGGCTGAGGGCAGCCACATTCGTTAATGAGCGCATGTGTAAGCATCAAAGCACGTAATACCACTCATGTATAGATATCCCAGTAATACATTCAGAGTATGTGCGAAAAAACACGCAAGCGCATAGTAATGTTGCAAATTATTTGCAAGAGAGCCAGCGCCCAGTTCCATTCGCATGAAGGGAAAGTGCCGAACCAGGGGCACCCAGGGAAAGCTGTTAATGGTGGCTAATCAGAGTAACTCCCAAATGGTATCCCAGACCTGGACCATAGTTGGTGGGCAGGAGGCCGGCTTCTACACTCCTCCAGGGAGTCCATGGCAAACGTACGTGGGAAGGAGCGTTTGTCACATATCCTCCCCTCCCAACTCCAGTTTGTCTGGGTCTGTGTTAGTCTGGTGACCTTTCCCAAAAGGTTCAGTTGTCCAGAGGGCCTCCTGCCACAAGCTCCCATTTGTAAATCCAGGGTCCTGCTGGGAAAAAAACCAATGCTGCACTCCACTCCGTGTGGACCAAGTTGTCGCTGGGGACAGCAGGCACAATTCTCCTCTCCCCACTCCCAGTAACTTGCACTGCCGCTGGGGAGAGAGACCATTTGTCTCCCCTCCCTGGAACACAATCTGCCACTGGGGACTAGGACCGGCTGTCCCCACTGCCAGTAACTTGCACTGCCAATGGGGAGAAAGGCCAGTTGTTTCCTCTCCCTGGAATAAGCACTGCCACTGGGGAGAGAGACCGGTTGTCTCCTCTCCTTGTAAAACAATCTGCGGCTGGGGAGTGGGACTGGCTGTCCCCACACCCAGTAACTTGCACTACCGCAGGGGAGAGACAGTTTGTCTCCCCTCCCTGGAACAGAATCTGCCGCTGGGGAGTAGGACCGGCTGTCCCCACTCCTAGTAACTTGCACTGCCACTGGGGAGAGAGACCATTTGTCTCCCCTCCCTGGAACACAATCTGCCGCTGGGGATTAGAACCGGCTGTCCCCACTCCCAGTAACTTGCATTTCTGCTGGGGAGAGAGACCTGTTGTCTCCTATCCCTGGAATAAGCACTGCCACTGGGGAGTGAGGCTGACTCTCTCCACTCTCTGTAACTCACTCCGCTGCTGGGGAGGAAGGATGATGTACTCCACTCCCTGGAATGCACACTGCCGCTGAGGAGTGAGACTGGTTGTCTCCACTCCCTGTGACATACAGTGCCGCTGTGAAATGAGACAGGTTGGCTCCACTCCCTGTGAACTACACTGCTGCTGTGGAGTTAAACCGGTTGTCTCCACTCCCTGTAACACACTTGGCTGCTAGGGATGGAGGACGATACTCTCCTCTCCCTTGAGCTCTAAGTTTATGAGTTTTTTTCCATCACTTCGGGGAATGGCGGTGTTATCCGGCGAAACAAGAGTACATAGTCCTTTTCAAGCTCCCACTCCAAGTTTGCAAGAAAAGTCAGATGTGGCTGCATTTCCGCTGTCCCCCTAAGGCCTAAGCTGTCTTCCTGCTCATCTTGGATGCACCAGAAGCGGGAACTGTCTGGGTTTCCGAATGCCGTACCATGATCAAAAACCTCCCACAAAAGATCAGGGCTATCATAGTCCTCTCCCTCGATGCATTTGAGATTGACCACCCCCAAGTAGATAAAGAATGCATGCCACTGCAAGGCTCGGTATGATTCATCCAACCACATTTCAACCATGACAAGTGTTTCCAGCTCTATTGCCCATTCCTCTAATGGCTGATCTCCCAGGAACGGCATCTGCAGCTCTACTTGTTCTCATCGGCGCTAGTTGATGGTCGGGAGGTTGAATTTCGTTGAGGTCCTCCATCCAGAGATCGGTTCAAAGAGCCTCCCTCCATTCTGATTCTCTCTCTGCTGGGATAGGGTAATTAGCACTGTGCAGAACCTCCTGCAACTGCCGCTGGAGCTTTGCATCGAAGAAGGATACTGCCCGACAGTACGTGCCTTCCATATCCCCACTTCCCATAGGTGGGTGTCCCTGAAGATGCGCTGGTTTCGCTACTAACTAGGAAGCCATCCCACCGCTTACCACCAATTGTAGTGGAGCTCCCTGTATCCCGGCCTGGGTACTTCTGCCAAGGACCACTTCCTAGCTAAAACAGGGGGGAAAACTCAGCAATTCTGCCCCAGTCGCCGTGGCTTGACTGGGGTCCTCCTGGAACCTCTCCGTCCTGGAGCAGGATAGGGGACTAGCTCTATTCCCTCACAGGGACTGGACAACACACAGTCCTGGGAGCTCTAATCCTTACAAGGACTTTCCCTGCCGAATCCTTCACTAGCTGGAACAAAGTGCTAAGTAGTAATTATAGCCCTTCCCCTCCCAGTAACTAGACGACACATAGTTCTGGGAGTCAACTGGTTTAAAGCATCCAAACACAGCCCTTTAATACACGGACCTCAGCAGGGGGTCTCCATTGTCTTCACCACAAGCCCCTCCCAGGAATCTCTGGGCCTGGGAGATAATTAAGTTAAAGACCGGTAAGCAAATTATCTCCCACCAACAGAGAGGCAAACATAAACATAGAAAACATAAAAATACCCCAAAACATAATAAAAACATAAAATAACCCCACAAATAAACTGTTTAATAGCCCTGATCTGAGCGCCCAAGTTCTCCAAGTAGCGCTCAGATCCATGCAGTGTAAAGGAAACGACACCATTTAAAGTTCTGACCTGCTGCACACATGGTCCTATGCCCAAAATAGTTCCAGTGCGTTTGGTGCTTTTGCCGGTCAACTTTCAGGAGCTCCTACAGCCGCAATACACAGCCTAGCTCTTTGGTAGCATTTGT